CTTTTTTAGAGAATTCTAAATCAGCGCTTTGACAAATGAAAATTTTTTTATATTTTTAAAAATTAATGTTTGATCCTTGTTAGATTGATATCAGAATAAAACTGCTTACCGTTTGCTTCTTTTCACAAAATCACATTCGTTATTTTGCTTTTTGTGTTAATCAACGATTTGTTTTGGTCCAATGTTTTAAAATTGCGAATGTGGCATTTTCGACAGTTCATATTTGTATAATTTTAGCACATTTATTTGGTGCAATGTTTCAAAATTGCGAATGTGGCATTTTCGACAGTTCATATTGGTCTAATTTTAAACACATTAATATTCTTAATTGAAAAGGAGGAAAATGAAAATAATATCAATGTTCTTACAAAGTTTAATACAAATAATTTAATTAAAAATAGAAGTTATAGGGTAAAATGGGAAAATCATGTATAAAGAAATTATTAAAAGTATTTTTATGAAAGTACGTATTAATAGAAAATTAATGTAATTAAAGAAGTTAAAAATAATCACAATACAATTATGGAACTTCACGTCCTGTAGATACCTCAAGTAATCAGTAGTAAAATAATGATAAATTAAAGTAAAGTCTTAAATTTTAGATTCAACGTTATCATTGTCTTCAGTTGCGTCAGGTTCTGGAAGACAATCTCTGGCAGTATTAGATGTTGGTAAAGATTGGTAATATTGGTGGTATGGCCTAGGTATTAAGTTTTGTTCACATAGTGACAAAAGGTTTTTTTTCTTCATATCCGTGATTGGGAGTCTTTCGTCGTATGCCTTAACAGAGTTTATACTATTTTGTTTGCCTCTTTTTTGTATGGTTTCAAGAGATAAAAAGTTTCCGTCAATGCTAGTCTTCATGTAAAGTTTGTTATTTTCATTTTTCCGATACTGGTACCATATACACTGTGTGGACGACGTCCCAAAGGAAGCATTGTTTAATATTTTTTTAAATATTTCTCGCTTTGACAACATCACTGTTTTTGGTTTAGCTATACCCAGATAACTGAATAATCAGATAATGAAAAACCGATAAAAACAAAATAATAAAGTTCCTCAACGAAAGAATTTCTTGGAAGAAATAATTCACACAATTATTGTGAATACGTGCGTTTTGTTCTTGTCAGCAATGTTTAGTATTTTTAACATTTTGCAAATTATAATTGAATAACTGTATCAATTACAACTCTGAAACTAATGTATGTGACACATTAAAAAACAAAATAATAAAGTGCCTCACCGAAAGAACTTCTTGGAAGCAATAATTCACAAATTGTGAACACGTGCGTTTTGTTCTTGTCAGCAATCTTTAGTCTTTTCGACAGTTTGCAGATTATAATTGAATAACTGTATCAAATACAACACTGAAGATAATGAATGTGACACATTCGTCATTTTGCATTGTACAAAATATATGCCTTTAGTTATATTTATACAAAACAAAATATCGAATATTCCATTTTCGTCAGTTTGCAGCATATTCGATATTTTGACCAAAACAAAATGACAAAATGTTCAAATTCGATGGTTTAGACAGAATATTTCCCGCATTTCTGATCAAGCTACAATTTCGATATTTTGCTACAAGGTGTATCACGTTTAATGCAAGGGAAGGTATCGAATCTGAAAAACCCGATTTTTCACATTCGTTAGTTGGAAATGGTAGGGACGAAATAATAAATGTATTTTGTTTTTATTTTATTGTCTATATGAAATATAAGTAGTTTATTTTAATATTTTCATTCGTGGTGTTACAAAATACTGTTCTTGTTTATGTTTTTATTATTGGACTTTGGAATAAACATATTATTTGCGTATTAGCCTTTTGTTTTATTATAAAAAAACAATAGATGTGATAGATCATTTTTTAAAGGGGTATAAGACCGCATAAGTGTATATCGGTATGAGAATCCGTCGTCACCAGTAGTGTGGCAATTTGTCACGTCACCTCTGGAGAGTTAAAAACAATTTACATCCCTCACAAATTATAATAAATATTATAAACAAAATTAATAATAGAAGAAAATATCATTTACATGACAATGTCTAATTGTACTCAAAATACGTAATATTAAAATAACTTACATTGTTAATTCCAAAGGTATATTATATCTAGGGCATTTAGCAATATTTATTCTTTCACATGACAACTCGAGAGCACCTATTTCATCGATCTTGCCGACAGGAGCAAAGTGCGCAGGGTTGCAGGGGCAGTTTCATAAATAACTAAAGATGGGGTCTGTTCGCTAAATTCTTCATGCGACATTCAAAAATTTAAATGTAATGGTATCTAGGTTAGTCGGTTGTTATAAATATTTGACGACTAGAAATCTTTTGTTTCAATTTGAATCAAGATATTGAAGGAAGTTTTATGATTAAAAAAAATTAATGATCAACATATTAATAAATAAAATAAGTCGTTAATTTTAAAACATTTTATATGACTGTTCGAAATTGCCACTGTGCCCACTAGTCATTTTTAAATTTTCTTTTCTCGTATAGATAGATAGATGGTTTATTGGTAATAAATGAATACAAAAGTATTTTTGACAAGTCAAAGAAAATAAAATATATGTCAATATGGTTGATAGTAAACATCTTGGTGATATATACATAAATATAAAACCTAAAACATAGATACAGTATTTTAACTTATTTAACAATTACAACAAATTAAAATCGGAAGTAAAATGCTCCTTATATGTAAAAAAGGCATTCGCTATAAGGTAACTCTTCATTTTTGCTTTAAACTGATGAAAATTAAGAGCTTTTATTCTAGCTGGCACTAAAGTTGTAGAGTTTTGTGGCTAAATACCTTGAACCATTTCTGGATCTCTCAAGTCGGCCAAATTCTGGTATAAGATTATTGTTAAATCTGGTGGGATAATTGTGAATATATACATGCGCATATATACTAGGTAAAGTTAAAACTTTTAAAACTCTAAAGGAGTTTCTACAGTCTGCTCTATAACAGAGCCTAGAGATCCCAGACAGCACAAGTACGTCCCATGGACATCCGAAGGATGTACCTCATTAAATGACCGGACATCCCTCGGACATCCGTTTACATAATTTGGACGTCCTCGGGACGTCCAATAAGACCTAAATGTTACCAAAAAGTACGTCCCCTGGACGTCCCAGGGATGTTCATGGGGACGTACATAGTACAAATACAGATTTAATACGGACTTATATAGGACCTAAAAAGGATGTATATTGGGGACATCCATTGTACGTCCACATGGACTAATACAGGACCTAAATGAGGATGTATACAGGACCTAAAGGGAACTTACAAAAAACTAATAAAATGAAAAGCAAAAATAAATGGGATTTTTATTGTGTACTTATATTAACATATTATGTATTTAAATTTTCTCTGAGAGAAAATTTAAATACAGAGAATCAGAGAGAAAATTTAAATACAGAGAGAAATTTCAATCAGAGAAGACGAATGGATGGACAGAAAACGATGGCGGTCGAAATGCGAGAAACGGCAGAGGCTGTAGGAACCTCGCTTATATATATATATATATATATATATATATATATATATATATATATATATATATATATATATATATATATATATATATATATATATATGTGTGTATTTAAATTTACTTATAGTATTTTTTAAGCACATTACTAGTACTTTACTTTACAAAATGTAGCAACTGATACCACAACCACAAAAATTACCTATAAAATTCCTATATATTCTCCATTCGCTTAGCTAGGGCATATTTTGACAGATTCATTGTCGGAAACCTACAACACAACAATTCCTACTTCTCAGTATTAATAGCTCAAGTATACTAGTATTGGAGACTTCTTCCTTTGAAAAAAGAAGACTTATTCTAAATAGTGGAAGTGTATACTAAACTCATCCAATTTTGGGTAGTATTATATTTAAAAATTATATTTTAGTTGTTATAATTTAACATGACTATTTATTATATGGTGCAGATAATAAATATTGATTGTCGGTAATTCGCAAAGTTCTATTTAATTTACTATTTAGTTTGTTTATAATTAATATTGGCTATGAGTACGTGTGCTTGGTTGTATAGTAATTTCCAGCCACTTTTAGTCTGTCAAAATGTAACTAACTTCGCAAAAAAATAATTACTAAATTCACTAGACAGTTCGGACTGGAAATAGCGAACCGAGTATACCTACTTAATGTCTATAATAATAAATTACCAAACTATAAACTAGTATCGAAATGCAATAAACTAACTCATCTAATTACAACCACAACCACAATGATTATAATTCGAGAAATAAAAAATTCCGAAAATGCTAGCTAAAGCTAAGCGTCGTTAAAACATAACCACATCATTCTTTTTTCATCTTCTAATTTTTAAATTTCAGTTCCACTACAGAACAAAATTTTAGAGATGTTTATTTTCATATAAATTAATGGTATTTAAAACTAAATATAACTTTTTAAAAAAAAGTTGAGTAAGAAGATATTATATTTTGTAAAAAATATGCTTAAATAAAAAAATGACAAAGTTAACATCTAGAAAACATCCCTAATACATCCCTAATGGGACGTCCCTCGGACGATCTTATGGGACGTCCCTGGTATGTCCGACTAGAAAAATATTTTAGTCCAAAGTTTAGACAACTAAATATACAATAATATGTATAAAGGATTGTATAATGTTTGGTGTCAGAGCAGGAGATAGTTGTAGAGATGTAGGACAGTCAGCCGGTTTAGTTACAGCAAAGAATATAGACGCTTTAGAAGCGTCTTGTATTAAAAAATATTCTTTGATTACAGTTTGGTTACAGGTTATTGATTATCTGTGGCTATGGCACAGAATAAATATGTTTATTAAAACAATTGTTTATTATTTTGTGGCAGAACCAATGCAAATGCAAAATAGTGCCATCTCTAATTAGTCAACTGGAAAACGTCAAATTGGTCAATGTCAAAGCCATCAAAACAACACACCATCTGACACCATCTACCTACACTGATCTACACTTAAATGTTTGGCATTGAACATTAAAGTAATATTGATTTAATTATTTATTTTTGTAATACGTAATAGGTATACATTATTGATATCATCTAAAATTCTCAACGATATGGACAACTTAAGGTAGGAAGTTAATCCACATAATTTAAACATTACAAAATGTAAATTTTTAGGCTCTATTTAGCTACCTACAATGTAGGTACTAGTTCCCCAGATCAAGATTTAAGGGAGTTATTATCCATAACTGACAAGAAAAGTGATGCACGTCCTGATTTTTTCGCACTATCTTTTCAAGAGGTAAAGGCACAACCACAGAATATGCTAATGGATACATTATTTGATGATCCATGGACTTTTGCTATTAAAGAACTCCTCCAGAGAGATTACATTAAACTAAAATCTCTCAGATTGCAAGGGCTTCTATTAATAGTATTTTCCCTAAGGAAGCATCTTTTAAATATTAGAGAAATTGATTCAGAGTATACAAGAACTGGTTTAGGAGGAATGTGGGTAAGTACCTATCTTAAAATTACTTTATAACAATCCAATTTAATGTCAGGAATAATTCCATATATAATATATATGGAATTATTATATTAACCCCAGTATTAAATAGTAATTAACCCCATATAATTACAATATTTCAATGAAAACAGGTTAACATGTTACAAAATGCATACATATACAAATACTTAGTTCATGTGAGAAAAGAAACATATGACACATAATAGCTCTAGAAGATTTAAAAGTATAGACAGACTTATTTCATATTATTATAGCAGTGTTTTTATTGTATAATGGCATTGACATAGCCAATTAGCCAGTCAGTTTTTAAAATATAATTTATACTAGTAGCTGCAATATTACTAGCCTCAAAAATTTTGCAATCATTTCTGCACAAACTAGAAGACTGGTCCCAAAAAACTGGTTTTACGTTCTCAGGTGATAAATCTCGTTTCATTGTATTTAATTAAAGAAAAACTGATTGCAAAACAACACTTACTCTAAATGGTATCAACCTAAAACAAGTAGAGAGCATTGACTTTCTGGGCCTGAGACTGGACAGGACATATTAAAAAGCTAGTCGTATCCTGCCAATATCCTTTATCCTGCCAGTATCCTTTAATGCTAAAGTCGGTCGAGGAAAAACTGGAAATATAGTAGGAAATTTAGGGTTAGGTAAAAGAAACGAAAGAGGAGACAGACTAGTCCAGTACTGCCAGGAAAAAGAATTAGTCATAACAAATACATACTACGACCTACCCCTACGAAGATTATACACGTGGACTTCTCCAAAAGATAACACCAACAATATAATCAGAAACCAAATAGATTTTATAACGATTAACAAAAGGTTTCGTAATGGAGTACAAAGTGCAAAAACCTATCCAAGCGCAGATGCAGATACGGATCATAATCTATTACTAGCAAACGTCAACATTAAACTCAGGAAACCGGAGGAAAAAGTTAAAACCACCAAAATTAACATCAAAAACCTAAACGACGACAACTGCCAACAGCAACTAAACGCAGAGATAAATAAATTAACTGAAGGAAGCGTTGAATGGGCAGATATGAAAAAAGCCATACTAAAAGCGGGAAAGGAGGTCCTAGGCGAAGAAGAGAAAATAACTAAAAAAGACTGGATGACACCGGAAATAGTTGAGCTAATAACTGAAAGAAGAAAATACAAAAATAAAGATGAAAATAAATATAAAACCATCAACAATAAAATCAAATTTGAAATCAGAAAGGCTAAGGAGGAATGGATGAACAAAGAATGCCAGGAATTGGAAGAACTCAGCAACAAACATGACACCTCAAACTTACATAAAAAAATTAAACAACTTACAGGCAACACCAGACAAAGAAGAACACTCATAACAAGAGATAATAATGGAGAAATACTTACTGAAGAGAGCAAAATAAAGGAAGTATGGGAACAATATATAATCCATCTTTTCCATGACGAGAGAGAAAATGAACAAGATATAGGTGAAGAAAAACAATACCTACAAATTTTACACTCAGAAGTAAAGAATGCCCTACAGAATACAAAACAAGGAAAAGCACCGGGTCCTGATTAAATTCCAGTTGAACTGTTAAAAGCCTTAGATGGCGGTAATATAAAGAGACTCACCCGAATTCTCAACCACATATATGTAGAGGGCAACATCCCGGAAGAATGGCTTAAATCGATATTTTTACCTCTACCAAAAACAACAATCCCAAATCATGTAATGACTATAGATTGATAAGCCTAATGTGCCACCCTTTAAAGATTCTTTTGAAAATTGTTCAAAACCGAATTTATAAAAAATGTGAGGAACAGATAGATGAAACTCAGTTTGGCTTCAGAGGAGGCATGGGTACAAGAGAGGCATTATTTGCGTTGACGGTACTCTTGCAGAAATGTCGGGAATATAACAAGAGTGCATATGTATGCTTCATAGACTTTAGGAAGGCCTTTGACCGAGTGCAGCATATGAAGTTAATAGATGAATTAAAAAACATCAATTTAGACAAAAAAGACATTGAGTTTATTAAGGCTATATACTGGAACCAGAAAGCAGTAGTAAAGGTGAACGATATAGAAACAAATAATATACCGATTGCGAGAGGGGTTAGGCAAGGATGCGTCTTGTCTCCGACGCTTTTCAACATGTACTCACAGGTCATATTCAGAAAAGCCTTATGGGAAAGAAAAGAGGGAATAAGGATTGGTGGAGAAATCATAAACACCATGAGATTTGCAGATGACACGGTAATTATGGCTGAGAGTATAGAAGATCTACAAACTTTACTAGATGCAATAAATAGTGAATGCATTCAAATGGGACTTGACATCAACACAGATAAGACCAAATTTATGATAGTATCAAGGAGTCCAATAAATAATGAACAACTAACTCTTGGTGGACAGCAAATAGAGAGTGACAAAATATAAATATCTGGGAGCTTACATCAACACAGAATTAGATCCAGACCAAGAGATCCGGGTACGAATAGAAATGGCAAGGGCAGCGTTCTTAAAATTCAAACAATTGTTCTGCGACAAAAATCTGAATATTGCGCTGAGATTGAGGTTTGTTGAATGTTACGTCTGGTCGCAATTATTGTACGGGGTAGAAACATGGACACTAAAAGCGCAAATAGTTAAAAAGATTGAAGCCTTTGAACTTTGGATACACCGGAGAATGTTGAGAATACCATGGACTGCCAGGGTCACCAATGAGGAAGTGCTGAGAAGAATGGGTCGAGTCAAAAAATTGTTGAGAACGATAAAAGTACGCAAGACTGCATACCTTGGACACATACTAAGAAATAATAAATATAGTCTTCTGCAGGTCATCATGCAGGGTAGAGTCGATGGCAAAAAGGGAATAGTTAAAAAGAGGAAGTCATGTCTGCGAAATATTCGAGACTGGACAAACATGACTGTAGACGAATTATTCCACGTTGCAAAAGACAGAGAAGCTTTTAAAAATGTGGTCGCCAACCTCCGTTAATGGGGACGGCATAGGAAGAAGAAGATCCTGCCAATCTTATATCAATTATTTAATATAAATCTGCTTAAAATGCTATCAAACCAATCTTGGGGAGCGGACACCATAAAATTACTGCATATATACCAATCATTAATCCGAAGTAAACTGGATTATGGTGCAGTATGCTATTCAACTGCGAGTAATTATATTATTAATAAAACTAGACCTTATACAAAACACATGTTTAAGACTTATTCTGGGTGCTTACCGAACTAGCCATATTTCAAGTTTTCAGGTTATCCTAGATGAATCCCTCCTATCAATACAAACGTTCAACGAGATATGGTTTTGACATAGAGCAGCTGACCCATTCTTACCTTACACGACGAACTATACCTCCCTGCACTATTAATTTTTTCACTGTTGATATATCCCTCACAGCCTATCCAAAGAGTACCACAAATCTCATCATTGTTAACAAATTATATCAAGAACGGATATCAGAATACACTGGCCATAACAAGATTTTTACTGATGCATCAAGAACTGAAAACGCATACGCAGCGGCCTTTCTTCCAGGAAAGTCTGAATATGCAGTTCGCATCCCTCAATTCTGCAGCATTTTCACGGAGAAGCAATCGCCATTTTAAAGGCATTATACATGTGTAAGAGCCATGCAAGCTCAAATTTTCTTATCATTACTGACTCTTTATCTGTTCTTCAGAGCTTAAGGCAAATATATCCAGTACATGCTATCCTGCAACAAATACAATTAGCACTTTATCAACTACAAAACAGACACGTGAACGTTTAATTTCTCTGGGTACCATCACATACACGTTGTTCCAGAAATGAACATATTGTTTTAAAATGTAAAATAAAAATATAATTCTTTGACTTTTCTTAGTGTAGAATAACTAGAAGTCACTTTATCACTTTATCTGCGACGGATTGGCGTCTAACATCCGTTAAATATTTTTCACACCTAAGCACTTTTTTCATTTTACGCATTATGTAGTTTTTTATTAGTTCAGTAACAGTTCAGTCGAGTTCGACACATGGCCTTGAGCAGGCATCACAGCGGGCAGTTAAGAATTTCACAATTCACGTATTTAAATATTTTCTCTCCGCCGAAATCGGGCATTTTCTCATGTTTATTTCTCATAACGATTTGTTTTACGTGTTATAAAGAAAGAGTACATTTGATATTGTACAGTAAGTTACGGCCGTGTTGGGCCTCTACTCTTAAAGGATTTAATTATAAATCAATAAACTCAAAGGTGCTTTTATTTCTCTGGAGCTATGAGTGCTCAAATTAAGAATCCTTATCTTTCAACGGTCACTGAAGAACCAAACCTATGGAGATGCATCCATTCACAAGTCCTTTGAAGTAAGGCTTGGAATCAAAAGATTTCCAACTCTCACGATGTAGGTAGCCAGTTACAAGGCTCCCTCACACGTATCGCAGGAAATGAAAAAGTAGATGAATTAGCAAAGAAAGCTGCTACTGACAAGCAAACTGAAATTATGACTACAATTCTATTCAGTGATATACAGCTCAATATTAAACAGCATTGTGTAAAAAAATGGCAACAAATGTGGAATTCTAATAAGGCTAACCTTAAAAACGTTAAAACTAGGATTGGCACTAAACTACAATTTCCAGAAAACAGAAGGCAACAGGTGATTATAAACCGACTAAGAATTGGACATACAGCGTTAACTCACCAGCATCTCATAACAAAACAACTACCACCTGGGCCCTGATTCTAATTGAGATTTCGACTGAAAAGTGAAAACATGTTGAAATCAATATGGCGACGTCGAAATGTGACTTTGCGAGCCTTGTGGATTTCAGCTGAACTAACCAAAGGGCGTCACTACTTTTCGATTTATCGAAATTAATTTCAACTTCAAGAAAGTGGTTGAAATTTAATTTCGAGTCGAAATTAATCTGACATGACTCAAGGACACTAAACACCGATAGAATTGATTTTGTCCTATGCTCTAATGTAAGAAATG